AGTACGTGTGTAAACGAAAGGGAGAACAGTGAAATAGTGAGGTTACAAGGAGCAGAGGTGGTGAAGGTGCAGGAGTTTAGGTACTTAGGATCAACTGTTCAGAACAGTGTAGACTGTGGAAGAGAGATGAAGAATAGAGTACAGAAAAGTGTTAGGAGTTTGGAAGGAAAGGAAGGAAAGTGAACTCCTTGTCATTGTGACACAGCACACCATTGCACACAAAGAAATGTGACCTCTGCATTTAACCCATCACCAAAGTGAACAGTGGGCAGCTTTTTGAGGGGAGCAGCGTGTTGGGTCAGAGCCATGCTCAGAGCAGCTTAGTGGTACCTTGGCAGCTGTTGGATTCGAACCTGCAACCTTCCGGACCAAGTCCGCTTCCTTAACCATGAAGCCACAACAGCCCAGAGTGATCTGTGATAGAAGAGTGTCAGCTAAGGTGAAGGGAAAGGTTTACAGGACAGTGGTGAGACCAGCTATGATGTACAGTTTAGAGACAGTAGCAATAGGGATAAGACAAGAGGCGGAGCTAGAGGTGGCAAAGTTAAAGATGCTAAGATTCTCTTTAGGAGTGACAAGACAAGAATGGACAGGATCAGGAATAAGGTCATTAGAGGGACAACACAGACAGGAAGGTTTGGAGAAAAAAGCCAGATTGAGATGGTTTGGACATGTGCAGAGGAGGGACAGTGGATACATTAGTAGAAGAATGTTAGAGATTGAGCTACCAGGTAGGAGAAAAGGAGGAAGGCATAAGAGATATATGGATGCAGTGAGGGAGGACATGCAGATAGTTGGAGTCAGAGTATAAGATACAGAAAACAGGGAGAGATGAAAAACAATGATTAGCTGTGACAAGCCAAAAGGGAAAAAAAAAAGAAAATATGTTTTTGAATTTATATATATTTATATTTATATTTAAATTCCCCAGCTAATTTTCCATTGGAGGCTTTTAGAACTTTAGCAAAAAAATCCTGCTAGACAAGACAAGACTAGATTTAATAATGCAAATTACTTTTTTTGGCGTAATAGTAATGGAAATCACGAGTAAAAGCTAACAATACTGCATCTGAAAATCATTTTTAATCTTGTTTTAATTTACCAATTAGATGGTAAATTAAGAGAATAATTAAGAGCACTTGAAATAAAACAATCACATAAGCTAATGTTTAAACTAGGAGATGTAAAACTCCATAAAAGCTCAAACTGTACCTATGGGCTAGAAACAGGTAAACACCTAACTCAGTCGAATATTTATCTGTCAGCAGCTTTACAGCTGGTGAATTTACATGTTACAGCTCATTCATTTTAATATTTAAATAGTCCTGCCCATTTGGAAAATATTCTGGTGATTTTCTAACAGATCCACTGAATGCAGTAGCAACACGAGTGTTGACAGTGCCGAACCAAACTAATGATTATAGTCTGTGAATTTAGTATGTAAGAAAACAAGTGCTTCATCCCATTGAAACACATTTAGCCAATGTTTTAAGAAAAATGATTTTAAGACTTTCTAAAATCCCTCTAAGCTTCCTACTAATTTCATTACTAGAAATGTAATACCCCCAGTTACTTTATAACTGTGGGTATTAAATTGGGGGTATGAAATTTAATACCCCCAGTAGGCCTACCCCCATATTAGGCCTAGGGAAAATGACATAATTTAGGGAAGAAAATGAAGGCAAGGTTACTTTTCACCTTTATGTGTTTCATCAATAAAACAAATGTCAACTAAATTAATTATGTTATATATTAAATTAAACTTTAAGACATTGAACAATCATCTTATTAAACCACATGCAGATTTGCCAGAATGTAAAGAAAACAAATAACACAAAACAGACAAACATGGACACTGAATGATTGTAAGTATGACAGTAAAAACCCATCTGCAGAGAGACACAAATAATAAACTGCTACAAACACAATGGCATTAGAACAATATTTTGAACATGAGGATGAGATGAGAAAGAGCGATGGGAAACAGGGTTCTTAAAAGCACTGAAAGAGGGGGCAAGAGAAAAGCATGGTTGTGGCAACAGTGGTGCTCACTTGATGTGGAGATATATTAGGTTAGCACTGAAAGTCCCTTTCCTATTACCTGACTAACTCAACACTGCAGCACTGCTATCCACACTTACATGGGCTATGCACAGAGCACAGAGCAGCTACTGTTAGCTGGTGCCTGCCACCGCTGGACTTACTGGCAACTTCCTGGCAAGGCTCAGAATCAGAATCAGAGTGAGGCTATGTGTTTGTGTGTGTGTGTGTGGTGGGGGTATGGGGGTAGGTGTGTGTTGTTTTTGAAACATAGCTCTGCTTCATTAATCAGATGGCCCTTGGCTGCTCAGTGTAAGTGTTCAGCTTATTTACTTTATTTCATTAGGGTGAGGGGTTAAGTTGTGTTGAGCCTGTAAAACAGCCTGACTATGGTCTATAGAGCGGTCTTTCCCACAGACCAGGTTGGGAAGTATGGATTTTGGAGGGTTTGCCTTTTAAACTGCTGATTATTTTCAGGGTTTCACTTAAAAGACACACATGACGGAACTGGTGTTAAACCTCAAAGCATAAAGCCCAAAGGATTGTGTAGTAATTGGCTTTGAAATGACATTTGTTAATCAAATTCAGAATCAGAAATGTTTCATGATCCCTGCAGGTAAAGTGTTGGTGTAATATATATAAAATTAGTATGCTTCAGGTTTGAATTTATAATTATTGTAAGTCTACTGTATATTTAATTAGAATGCTCCACTTTTTTAAGCTTTAAACTGGGAAGTGTTATCTTTCTTGTATTTTTAGATGATAAGGAAAGCTTATAACCTCACTATTAACATCCAATCATGTAAAAGATTATATGGTTTTAGCTTTAAGTTATCACTAAATCACACAATGTGTTTAGTTTGTCTACAGTGGCTCATGGTTAAAACAACATGGGAGGATATACCAAAAAGGGTTGGTCCAGTTTGGACTTCCATATACAGTAATACCTTGAGATACAAGCATATTCCGTTCCCATAAGAAATAACAGAAAAAAATTAATCTGTTCCAGCCCTCTAAAAAACTCCTTTTTAAAGTGCTAATAACAATTGAAAACTTGTTTTTAATTGCTACAGACATACACATATCACACACAAAATGACAGTATATAAGGATTTCTGTGATATAAATAAAATGTGGTTTTAATTATACTTACCTTCGAGACAGACGATACAGTACCGAGTGCAAAGGAGGAAGAGAGGAAAGAGAGTTGGCCTGTACATGGACACTTGATTCCGTACCGTACCTTTCAAGTACACTACATAGCTTACATAAACTTAGAATTAAATTAACTTATGTATTCTGTTTTACTTTTCTATTTTTTTCTTTTACTTTTTTCAGCGTAGGCTGCTCCAAGTGCTTGGCCACCTAGCCGGTGTCTGTAAGCGTGCTTGTATCTCAGAACTTTACTTGTATTTCAAAGCAGAAATGTCCTCGAAGGCTTGCTCGTATCTCGAAATACTCTGTATGTCGTTACGCTCGTATCTTAAGGTATTACTGTACAGGTGAAGACTTGGACAAAAACATACTTTTATACCTGCCCCCTCCAAAAAAATTTCCTTTTAGCATCTGCTTCTTACCAAGCTGTTGACATGTATCAGCAGTTGCTGGAGGTAAGCACAGAGTTTTCTCAGGTGCCGGCTAATGTCTCTCAGAGTATCTGGACTCTTGTTCTGGCTCCAGGCCACCGCTTTGTCCAGCCAAAACTGTATCTTTTTAACATCCTGCAAGGTTTCTGTCATTCTTTGGGTCTGTATCTCTGGTTTCAGCTGAGACATCAGGCTTTTATCCAGGTGAGGTAACTTGGCTGCTGAGACCAAAGGGGAGAAACACTGGGACATGTCCAAGGATTTCAAGAACAGATCCACATGCCCTAGCATCTTTTGTGCAAAATGCATTATGGGTGCAAACTTATGTGAATATTATGTAAGATAAAAGTTTAAACATAAAAATATTAGATTTTGAAATTGAATTTTTTTTACAACACAGGATTTGTCTATGGACAAGAATCATCCATTAATGAGCCATTTCATTTGTAAAAATCTTAAAAGTTAAAAAAAAACAAGGCAGTAATAAAACCAAACACATGCGCACATACACACAAACACAACCAAAGCCACACAAAGATGTGCATGCATGTGTATACGTGTGTATATACATGTACATCTACATATGCATGCATACACATAGGGACCAACATTTTATATATCACAGGGGTATGTGTGAGAGGTGTTTCATGTCTGTTTTTAGTCTGTGTATGGTGTGTGGGTTCATGTGTGTGTTTGCTGGGGTTTTTTTTTTTCTCCATTATGACAGGTCGATGTGGTGCACCACAGGGTTGTATTTTATGATTACCTCTTTACACGCCATTTGTTTAATGTCCTGCCATCACCTCTGCCGGAAAGCCCCTATGGCTCACTGAATATATACATAACTATTTTCAGGGAGAAAAAAGCCCTACTAAATTGAGTACAAACATACTCAATACCCAAGTAGCAGTCTTGCTTTCCTATAATTTTGATCACACAAGGGCAATTATGCTCCTGCCCTGTAATGGCTTCACTTTACTGTGCTCACACACAAAAAGGTGCTCATTAAAAATGTATGTCAATGTAATGTGCATCATGTATGGAAACACACTGGTGTAGAAACATGATGTGATAGAACTGTTATTATCTTTGAAGACTGGTAAAATTGGTAAAAGTTTGTGGACTTTAGGTTAGGCTGAGTTTGCTGTTCCATTATAACATAATTACATGATAAATTACACAATAAACATAATTCTTGGACTTGGATGAACAAGGAAATATTTATAAAATATCGAGTTTACAAATCAAAGTAATATTCTATTATTATTATTAAGTAATCATAGAATTTAATAATATAAATTTAAATCTGGTGCTAAGAAAAATCATGTTTCAAAATCTACTTATTTAACTTGAATGTGACAAATGCATAAGCATTGATATTACTTTACTCCCCAAATTATGCTAAGATCAAAACTTTATTTTGTGATAATGACTGACTAACCAAAAGTCAAAAATATTTGTGACTGGGTAGGACCCAGTATGTCATTGATCAAATGGACCTTTAAGCAATTTGCTGTAATTTTTCAAAACTTTTTCTTATCAATAGAATTCCTGGAAATTATAGCAATTACATGCTTGTGGCAGAACCGTAACCCTAACCATATTTGGAAATGAAAAATGTCCTAGTTGTTAATATTTTATCAGATTTTTTTCTAGTATTTTTTATAAAACTATTCAGAAAAGATATTTCGAATATTTTAATATGTACTCTTGCTTAGAGTTTGAATTCTTTTAACGTATATTGTTATGGTGTTATGTTTCTCTGCTGTTTCTGGGCAATGTACTCATTTATTAAAAGAGAATATTATACTAAAACGTTTTTGGAACTCACGACAAACTGTATAATCTCTACTGATTTATACGACTGACAATATCTAAAATTATTAAGTTCTTGTCGCAAATATGACAGGTCTGAGCAATAAACAGGTTTCCGGGTGTGGAAAAATAATGTTAGAACGATTGACAATTTATACATGAATAAAGTGCTTTTGTGTAACAAATACCTTGCACCACACGATGCCAGTATTTCCTATACTTTAACCACAATTACCCACTGTGAAAAATTAACTATACAGCATTTGATTTATCACATTACGTTTAGTACATGTCTTCATGCACGTAAACAATAATAAGGTAGTAAGTACTAGTAAGTAATAACGCTTTATGTCTGTATATCGTTATGGCAAACCGTTAGCAATATGTCAGATATATGTTAGCTTGCTAGCACTGAAGTACTGAACGATGATATTTAAACGTGGACTTACATGTATGATGACGCTTGGACACGAAACTACCGCCTTCCGAGAGCAGAAGTCACCTTTAACCTTTCAATGCTAACCTACTGCGCGTACACTATATATGAAAAAAAAACAACCTTCAGATCGGAGGATTTATACAAACTTCTCTCTTCTTCTTTAGGACCTCCGCGTACCAGGAAGTCGATTGGTTACAGGCTCGCGGTGAGTGTTGGGTAATGGAGTCGTAGTGTACATTTTCTTGCATTTACAAACACAATTGCACAAAGTTACTTAAAAACAGAACAGAACCTGATCTGTGAAGCAATAAAACACCACGAGGGCACGAGAATGTCTTCTGAACGTCCTTTGATAATTTAAGGTGCACCATTTTTTGATAAATTAACATGAATTTGTTTAAGTGACATGCGGTGAGGTTCATGGCTCCTCTGGAGTCAGATTTACTCAGGCAAAAATCAAAAAGACCAACCTAATTCACTTTATCCAACAGCATGCAACTGTTAATGCTTCATATACCATCAGGATTCATCTTTCAATTCCACTTACACCAACACAAACATATATACCGGAACATATTTGTCCTACAAAGAATATTTCTTTTATAGAAATGGATAGAGCACCCTTCTTGTGTCTAAGCAATTCATATTTACTGTAAACAAATTAAAGTATAGAGATGAGTGCAGCAAAAATTTAATTTTGATCTTCAGTAAAAATCTTCCAGTAAAGGTTAGTTTTCACACTTTAAATTGTATTGCTTCAATCCAAGGTCCATCCATCCATCCATCCATCTTCAACCGCTTATCCGGGGCCGGGTCGCGGGGGCAACAGTCTGAGCAGGGACACCCAGACTTCCCTCTCCCTC